GCAACGGGATAGATTTTATATTTCCTGTGCTTTTTCTTTTCTTCCCTCCTTTGTTTGATTCACGTATTTCCCATGTTTTTTCTTTCACCGCCTACGAAAGACCAAACCTCGGTCCCTTCTCGAAATCTCTCTTGCCATCACTATCGTTGCCCCCGGTTGGCTGGCCCACCCCAGCCGCAAAACAGGGGACTGAAAATATGGTAAGGAAGACCGGTAGACTGTCCCAGAGAGAGCGCTAATTCGAGGGCACAACTATTTCCTAAATACTCTCAGAAACAAACAACGACACCCAAAAAATAGTCATTTTTAGAGCGATTATAGCTATGGGATTCTCTCTCGAGCCCCTCCCCCCATTTTCTCTATTTCTTTATTAATTTTCACGTGCCACCCCTGGCCCTCTTTCTTTTTTCGAATATTTTTCCTCCCATGGCTACATCTCTTCAATGCCGGCCTCATGCGGTTATGGTAGATAGTCACCTGTCAACATATACGCAGTTCAGGGCAGTTTTTTCTTGCTCGACGCAACCCAGGACCATTTACCTGCGGTACACACATTCTTCGACTACGAAAATTCTGAGCTCAAATGCAGCCCAGAGGTGTAGGTTAGATACCATAGAATGTAGACAAAGACATCGAAAACAATGCGGAAAGGAATGAGCTTGCACCTCCAATGAACGGACGAGCAGTAAAGGCGCTGGAAATGTCTGAACCCCTCACGCTGGATGACTCACAAGCACTATTCTCTGATCTAACACCCATATTTCTGCGCACTAATCTGGTTATATGTAGAGCAAATGGCGGGAGTGAATGGCTGGAGGGAGCACAATGAAATCAGCAGGCCACTTCACAAAGTGCCCAACACCTCGCCCAGGTAAAGACAGTTACAGGTTACGCGTACGCCACTCGGTCTTTTACTCCATTTCTCTGATTTTCACCGCCGCGGTCTTTGAATTGGACACTTCCCAATTTTAACATGATCAGCCGATCTGTTGGTTTACTGTCGGACGAAGATCAATTTGGACAACTTGACGAGGCGGCCCATCGAACACCTGTATATGCTGCGGGTCCTGTCCTGGCCACCAGCCAACTGAGAATAGCATCAGCGAAGGTTTGTGAAGGCCTTCGCTTCATGTTGTATTTGCTAGCCAGCACCCGCAAAATTAGTTACGATATCAATCACCACTAAATTCCAGAGGTACAGTTATACTCTAACATCTATAGTCCTCCTCTTTATCTTCTTTTCCCCTCACCTTTGGAACCAACGATATCTTTGCTTAGGCGGATAATCTCCATGTATGTTTCCCTTTCCCCTCTTCTTTGCCTCACATCCAGTAGCTGTCAAAGACACAAGTTGCATGAAGCAGAGGTAATTCGTCCAAGACAGATTTTCACTATGTAAGGCAGAGTTCACGCTGTTGGCTGCTGGTTTTTAATCACAGATTTATCATTCTCGGCAGACAAATGAAGTCATGATTCCTGGAACCAACAAATCGACTCGATTATGAGGATGATGGAGGAGGGGCAAAAGCATAGCAAAGACTAGGGTAAGCATTTTCCTATCGGGACACCAATGCCCATCAACCCTCAACCTACGCGCCAGCCTGCTCCAGGCATCCCAATGCATTGGGTCCACCTGGGTCGAAAATGTGCATGGACCTGGCCCGACCCGCTGAAGCAAAGTGAGGACCCGACCCAAGACCTTTTACCCGGGCTTTACCCGGGTGTGTTATGGAGGACCCAGGTGCACAGAATACTATCATATAGGACGAATGTATAGAATTCGTTGAGAAATGGCGGGTCAAGCTCATATAATATCAATTAAACACCAAACTACAGCCACACATGATGCAAAAAAAACATTCGAACTTGGTGGAAATTACCCGGGTCCAATATTTCATCGGACCCGGCCCAAGCAATTTTCAAATTTCAAGGACCCGGCCCAGTAGACCCGTATCACGACCCGGGACGGCCCAAGTATAGGAGGACACATTGCGAACCTGGCCTGCTCCCCGCCTTCCGCCACTACTTGCACATATCTGCTCTCTACAGCTGAACAGTAAATTGCAACCTGCGTGCGCCACAATACTGACGAGAAACATAGTTACCCCGAGATCGGAACAGGCACGTCACTGCATTGGGGAGATCGGGATTCGAAAACAAATACCGAGGAAAATAGACAGCTCACCACAAGTTCTACTCTTGATCACCGATCCCACGGAAGTTCGGAATAACAGGGTCATATCTAAATGATCTTTTGATTACTCAACCGTTCTCAGGCTCTTGGTATTCCCGGTCTCTCTAACGGAGCTTTGTCACAGCTGCAGGAGGAAAGGGATGGGGATAGATGAAGTGAGTACCGTGGTGTAGGTTTATAGCCTCTACGAAGCTAAATCATATACTTAGTAGAGTAGGTAACGTAACCTATGGTACAAAGTTTCTATACAAATATTTACTCGAAATCTAGTACGTACTCAGGTTAATCAAAGTGGGGGTTATGCTAACCCTAGGGTACAAGATTTGTGCGATAGTGATTAATCAAAACTCGGAACCTGCTCAACTTGATCAAAAAGGGGGTGAGATAAACCTCGTCAGCCTTTTAAACTTAGAGTTCTTTATCAAATTTGACAGCCTTTTAACATAAACCTCAATCCCAAAGCTATTTTTAAATTAAACTAGATACATACTGTTTAAATTATAATAAACTGTACATGGGTTAGCTTAAACAGATCTAAGTTGGTATATTTGGTAATAAACCTCTAAAGGTTTGATCTATATTAAACAAATCGAACTTAAATACTTCGATTCCAAACACCCGAATATTTGGTTTACCATAAACTGTTATCTTTGACAATTTACGTATATCTAAGTTGGCAGCTTGTTTTATGTTAAACGAGTTTATATTAATTAACCTATATAGTACAAACCTACTTGGACACCTAATTGTAGTGATGGGCACGAGCCGGCCCGAGACGAGCCCGGGATAGGGCCCGAGCTGGCTTGGATTGTGAAGACAAAGGCTCGAGGTGTTTACGCCCTAAAGCTAAGCTCGAGCTCAGGCTCGAGCTCTTATGTTTATACCTAAAATAGACCTTACAGTAAGTCGGCATATAGAGTTTGTATGCAGGATGAATAATGGGGATATATTCTCATATAAACTTCCAAGCTCTGGGCTTTTTCAATTATTAATAATGTTTTGCTAGGCTCGAGCCTAGGCTCGAGTTTTTTGGATATCGGCTCGGCTTGCTCGGGCTCCTCACTAAGCGAGCTGGACCTGTTCGAGCCAGCTTGGCTTGTGCCCATCACTAGCCAAAACAAAACCCCCCGCAAAGTCAACTCCCGGGAATTCCGATGAGTGCGAGTGAACATCGGTGACTTCAAAATATCGATGACAAGCCCGATAGTGAGCTTCGCCCAACTTGGTCCGAGCGCAGAAGGAGCAAATAGCTGCCCACCATTCGCAATTAGCGTGCTTGGAGGGGCGGGGGAGCCCGGGAGTAATGTTTTTTATTTTGTTGTGCATACTGTGATGTGTTGCTGGAAGTCCCAGTCTTTGGGAAATACGTCCATGCGCACGGCGTCTGTAGGGTGATGGGCACGAGACGAAAGAATGGCAGGTCTTACCTCAACATACGAAAAAAAATAACAACGACTTTGGCCCGCCAGAACGAGTTAACCGACACAAAAAAACAGAAAAGCCGACTCTCGAGACTTCTTGGCAAAGACGAGTGATCACCTATGACTCAGCTATCGACCAAACGCCAACTAGCGAGACCTTGTCTTCAGATACAAGAATAGTCAGTACCTAGCTAGCTCAATATAGAACGAGACAAGTCAAAACCAAAAACCTCAAAAAGCCAACTCGAGAGTATTTTCGTGACTGCGAGTGATCTCTGGTGAGTCCAGCATAAGTGAAGAGCCTCACACCCAGCTTAAGCCTACGCGATCCTAGTGCAGAGAACTCCAGACTTCTCTTAAGAATTACCGTCCTTGGTAGATCAGACAATGGGGGGCAGTTAATTTACTTGGGTTTTCATAGGTCTCGAGACTTTGTCTGAAGCGTAGCCCCGAGTTGGCGCTGCCGGGCCGTTTCTCTGTGATTGACGGGAAAGACGAAATAGCCTCCAGTATCATGCTTCTTTGTATAATAACCATCGCTAGTGTCTTCGTCAATTGCAAGTCACTTCAAGACGCCCTCACGATCACCATCGTCCGTTCTTTCATACCAATGCAGGAAGCGAGGCCCGATGTTGACTATGAAGGAACCTGACAGGAAACACGGCTTGTCTTAGCAAGTAGGAAAAGCGACGTTGCAAGGCAGAGTTCCGGGGTGATGGTAGAGAGGGTATCTATCGATAAAAAAATATTCAGGCATGAGCCTCGCCCAGTGCAGAGGAACGCTAATCATGTAAGGTCTTGTTGTGCGTTCTTGGCGATGAGGCTGAAGATCCCTGCTTGTATTCCTTGGCAGTGTTGGGTGAGGTGGGAATCATTGTGAATCACTCGTTTGGCTTGGCCGTGCTAGCGCGGGGAATAACAATAAAAATGGCAACCGACCCGACTCCGCGCGAATAGTACTACACAGTGTAGATTTTTTCGCAGAGAAATACTATTTAGAGCACTAATATTTGTAGAGTATAGGCGCTGGAAACGAAGAACAGTGCAGAAGAAATTGTGTTAATTAATCTGCTACTGGAGTCTTTTCTAACATTGCTCTTCGACGAACCCGGTATTATTAAAACCAAGGAAAACTGAAAAACGCACCCACCCATACGAGGAACCGGAAATTGAATCTAGAGAGCACTGTGACTGTAAGTAACGTTTACGAGAAAAAAGCGCACGGGGGGTTGGTTACCAGAAACAGGGATGAAAGAAGATGTTGGGGAATATGTGCTATAGTTGAGAAGTGAAGGACCACGAGCTAGAATGATTGATAGAAACGAGTATCAGGACAGGAATGAACCTGAGCACTCAATAATAATCACCCCGACCGTACCCTAGATTCAGACATTCGCGCCTCCGGTTGAAGCAAACCTCTCGTACATCTTGAGGATCAAAACTGACAGCGGAACTACACAAAGCCCCATATTAGCGACTCCCACCACCCTTTCATAAACTACGTTACCAAGGAGTCGACATACCAAGCTATAATCATCAGCACACGCTCACAAATCTCAGGGAGCCAAATACTTACAAGAGCACCCATCCATAAAATATCCATCCACTCCCACGTCCCAAACCACACGAGACAATAATAGCGCGCGCCATACCATGGGAAACCCTCCTCCCTCAGCGCCTTATATTTTAGCTCTCTCGCGCGCCTAAACATGATCTTCGTAACCTCCATCAGCGCCTTCCTATCTCCCAGTCAGCGCATGATCCAGCCCCCAAGGCGTGGAGTGTGGATGTCGCATTTACTTATTTGCCGGAGTAGGGTCAAGCTGGTAAGCCGCCCCCGCAATCTGCGCATTGAGGACAGCGCAAATCAGCAGCGGATCACCCAAGGATAGGAAACGATGGGGGAATACTGAGAAAGATCGGTTATAGACTGGGGAAGAAGATGGAGATTATGGACACGGAAATGGTGGGGATTAAGAAAGCTATCGAAGTCGGACTGAAAGAGGCGGCAAAGGAAAGAAAGAAAACGATCACGATCAGATGTGACGGTCAGGAAGCGATGAGACGAGTAAAACGCAGACATCAGGCATCCGGAGAAATGATGGCCCATAAGATACGCTATTGGTACGATGCCGGCAAGACACAAAAAATCCGAGTAAGATTTGAATGGGTTAAGGGACACAGCAGGATAAAAGGAAACTCGGAAGCAGATAAAGCAGCCAAAGAGGCTATCAACAAAGGGAGAATCGACAACGAATGGTTCGTTTCGTTTGCATTCCTAGAGAGAGAGTCCCGAGAGGAAACAATAAGAGAATGTAACGGCAATATTATCTGTTAGCTAGGATGATCGATTGGATTGTGGAGGGAAGGTATTGCGCAGTTGTATTAGGATTTGTAATGGGGTTTCTGTTATGTTCTTTGGGTTTCCGTTACGCGAGGTATGAGTCATCAATGGACTAGAGCCTGGATATATAAAGGGGTGTTGTCTCGTGCCTTTTCATGTTTTCCTTCCCTTTCCTTTTCTCTTCACGGAACTTCTTGTACTTATTCCACGAATACTACTTTGTTCTACACCTCGTTATAGGGCTTAACTAGTTAGTCATACTAGGCAAAGCCACTCCATAGTCCACAGTCTCGAATACCTATTACTACGTCCTCCCCTCGGTTGTATTCCTTGGCATCATAGTCCCTACGTCCATAGACCCCCGTTACACCAAGTTCCGTCCTCTATTGCCAACCAATACAACACCATAGTCTACCATGGCGGCACATCTCCCTATTGATTATCAACAGCTAAGCGATGCCCTTCAGACTTTCTTTCAACAACATCCAGAGGTGGATGGCAATGTCGGAATAGAAGCCTATGCACTTCTTCAACGAGCACAACATGGCCTTGCTCAGTATGCAACGGACTTACAGGGGGTGGAGAGGGAGGCTGGAAATGCAAGGGAGATGTTCGAACGAGATCTAGCCGCTGCCAGGTCCCACCGAGTCGCTGTTGAGGTGGTTGCCCCTGATGAAGAACCAATCGGAGAAGATAATGCCCCACCGGTACCTCCAGTTCCACCTGTTCCAGTGGTCACCCAACGGTCGGAAAAACTCCCAGACCCTGAAGTATTTAAGGGAGATCGCGATCGAGAAAGACTACACCTATTCAAGCAACAGATGAAAATCAAGTTATTGGGAAATGCCGACCGCTTTCCCACACTACAGTCCAAATTATCCTATGCATTCAGCCGATTGGAGGGTGTCGCCCCCAATCAGTTCTTACAATACGTTGGGGAAGAAGGCATCGCTTTGCCTTCCATGTTACGGTTTTATGAAATCTTAGATACTGCTTTTGGGGATCCTGATCGAATGCGTACAGCTAGGAGGAACCTTAGGAACATCCGTCAACGAAACAGAACCTTTGCTGATTACTTTGCCGAATTCCAACGGTATGCTGCCGAGTCAGGGATGGATGAAGTCTCTCGGATTGAGGCTTTAATGGAGGGTATTAATGCGGAACTCGATGAATCGATGATACACCATGAAACTCCTACGACAGTAGATGCCTGCGCGACACTTTTGCAACGGTTAGATAATCGACGACGAGCGGCAGAGGCTAAGCGAGGAAATAAAAAGCCTTGGAATGCTACTGCTGCTCCGACCCCTCGCCCCCCACCAGGGAATTCTGCCCCTATTCCTCGCGCTGCCGCCCCAGCTATCAATGCACTTGCCTCTGAGAACCATCCCTCATTCCGCCCGGGAGGTGATGTACCGATGGATCTGTCCGGGGGACGTCGTCGCCCCACCCCCGCCGAAAGAAATGCCCGCTTAGCTGAGGGCCGATGTTTCTATTGCGGAGGAGTCGGACATATGGTTAGGGATTGTCCCCAAGCAAGGACAATTGGAAATCAACCAAGGAGACCGGTAATGAGGGGAGCGGCGTTGAGGGTGGAGGAAATTGACGGAAGCGATAACGAGTCGGCAAAAGATTTGTCCCTGCACTAAGTGGCTTAGCCCAGGGACCATTTAAGGATTTTTCTAGGATGCATATTTCTGGGTTTTGGGTATCTGAGGAGGAAATGGATGGGAACCAATTTGTAGTAACTTGTTCAATTTCACAGAATAAAAATACTTTCGTACCCACCTACGCCCTTATTGATACCGGAGCATCAGGATATGCTTTCATCGATGAATCTTTTGCACGCCACAACAATCTTACCATGACCTCACTCAAAATCCCACGACATGTAGACGTTATAGACGGCAGACCTATCAAGTCAGGGAAGATTACTCATATTGTTGATGTCTCGTTAGACATTCATGGCCATCGAGAGACTGCGTCATGTTTTGTGACAAAGTTGGGACACTATCCGATTGTGATGGGGATACCTTGGATGCAACGCCATGATGTTACGATTCGACCAAAAGAAAATTTGCTTATCTTCGACTCTCAAAGCTGCCGTCAATATTGCTCGCTTAGTGGAACTACAATTACGGTTCATGCTATATCAATCCCCCTACCGGAAACTCATACCGTCACCGTCGCAGCGACCGAGAAACCTACTATCGATATTAACAAACTAATACCGAAGGAGTTCCACCGCTATATCCATATGTTTGAAGAATATGATGCTTTAGCGCTTCCACCACATCGACCGTTCCATGATATGAAGATAGTATTAGAAGAAGGCAAACAACCACCATGGGGACCAATATATGCTTTATCCCAAACGGAGTTGAGGGCACTTTGGGACTATCTTCAAGAGAACCTACCTAAGGGGATTATCCGTCATAGTGAATCACCAGCGGGGGCACCTATCCTATTCGTCAAGAAAGCCGATGGAACTCTTCGTTTATGTGTCGACTATCGGGGCCTCAATGCAATTACGATTAAGAATCGTTATCCATTACCGTTATTGAAGGAAACTTTGGCCAAATTGTCAAGAGCAAAATACTACACCAAGTTAGATTTACGTTGGGGGTACAATCAAATCAGAATAGCGGAAGGAGACGAATGGAAAACGGCATTCCGGACTCGGTACGGACATTTTGAATATACGGTGATGCCCTTTGGATTAGCGAATGCTCCTGCTACGTTCCAACATTGGATCAATGATATCCTACGTCCCTATTTGGATCAATTCGTGACAGCTTATTTGGATGATATCCTTATCTATTCCGAGTCTCTTATAGAACATAAGGATCATATTCGAAAAGTTCTAAAAGTACTTGATGAAAATCATGTTCATCTCAAACCCGAAAAATGCGAATTCATGGTTCAAGAAACAAAATACCTGGGCCTGATCCTCACTCCGAATGGTAATCGAATGGATCCGAAGAAAGTTATTGATGTTTTAGAATGGTCCACACCGATGAATCTCCATGATGTGCAAGTATTTTTGGGATTTGCAAACTTTTATCGACGGTTCATCTTAGGATATTCAAAGATTGTTGCCCCACTTACAGCCCTAACAAAGAAAAATGTTAAATTCGAATGGACGGATGAAAGGGAGGAAGCATTTCAAACCTTAAAGAAGATGTTCACAACAGCACCTATACTAGTTCATTTCGACCTGGATCGAAAGATTGTGGTGGAAACCGATGCATCTGATTATGTCTCAGCAGGAATCCTTTCACAACGCGATGATGAAGGAGTTTTACATCCAGTCGCTTTCTTTTCCAAGAAACATTCCCCTGCGGAATGTAACTATGAAATCTATGATAAAGAACTTCTAGCGATTGTTCGATGCTTCGAAGAATGGCGACATCATCTAGAAGGAGCACAATTCCCCATTGAAGTTTTCAGCGATCATCGAAACCTGGAATATTTCATGACGACAAAATTATTAAATCGTCGACAAGCCCGTTGGTCTGAATTTCTTTCACGTTTTGATTTCATTATACAATTTCGACCGGGAAAACAAGGAGCAAAACCCGATGCATTAACTAGAAGGTCAGGTGACCTACCTAAAGAGGGGGATGAAAGGTTGACGCATCAGAGCCAAGTGGTTCTGAAGCGAAAAAATTTGGATACAAAGCTAAGTTTGTTCGCGGGTTCTTTATCAAATGAATCCGCTGAAGGAATGTCTACTGTGGAGGAGTTATTTTCAAAAGCTTACCAAGTTGATAGTTTCCCAAACGAGATTCTTGTTATGCTCCGGAGCGACGTTCGACATTCAAACAAAATTTCACTTGCCGAATGTATGGAAGACAACAACGGTCGGCTACTTTATCGAGGTGCACTCTACGTACCAAATGACAGTGACCTCCGACTGAGACTACTAAAAGAACATCACGATAAACCATCAGCAGGCCACCCGGGTAGAGCAAAGACATTGGAACTCTTAAATCGGGAGTATTATTGGCCACAAATGCGAAAGTATGTCGATCGATATGTCAGAAATTGTAATGTGTGCGCCCGTAGCAAGGCACCACGCAATGCACCCTATGGAGTACTTCGCCCCATGCCAATACCCGATGGACCATGGACGGATGTCTCGATGGATTTTGTTACCGACCTTCCGGAGAGTGAGGGTTACAATGCGATTCTAGTTGTTGTTGATAGACTAACCAAAATGCGACACCTAATACCAACAACTAAAGAGGTGGATTCGAAGGAAGTAGCAAGACTATATATCGATAATGTTTGGAAATTACATGGACTACCTGATACGGTTGTGTCCGATAGAGGAACGCAATTTGTCGCGGAATTTTGGAAGTCACTTTGCAAACGTCTGGAAATATCTCCACGATTCTCCACCGCATTTCACCCTCAAACCGATGGACAAACTGAAAGGACCAATGCCGTAATGGAACAGTATCTTCGAAGTTATGTTTCTTATCAACAAGATGATTGGACCCGATTATTGGCAATAGCGGAGTTTGCAGCAAACAATCATGTGTCGGAAACAACCAAGGTTTCTCCTTTCTATGCCAATTCGGGAAGGAATCCACGGATGACTTTTGGCCCCTTGGAACATGGCAAAACGACAGCGGAAGATCAGGCCAATAGCATCGCAAAAGAAATGAAGGATATGGTGGAATTTCAGAAAAGCGAAATGTTTCGGTCACAAAGGATACAAGAGGAATCAGCTAATCTCAATCGTTCTCCTGCTCCTCGCT